GAACAAAACTTCTTTATCTCCTGTAGTAGACTGACATCACTACCAACAAGTAAGATATCATCCACATACAGGATAAGAAAGATACACTTCTCATTCTTAAACTTTGTATAGACACAATTGTCCTCTACATTCTCTTTAAATCCAAAATTCTTTATTGTCGGATCAAACTTCAAGTACCACTGTCTTGAAGCTTGTTTTAATTCATAAATGGATTTCTTTAGGCGGCATCACATTCGTTCTTTTTCTTTTATGACAAAACCTTTCGGTTGTGCCATGTAAACATTTTCCTCCAAGTCTCCGTTGAGAAATGCCGTTTTTACATTCATCTGATGTAATTCTCAATCGTAATGTGCCACTAATGCCATTATGATTCTGAAGGAAACTTTACATGAGACTGGAGAAAATGTCTCATTGTAATCAATCCCTTCTCTTTGCATATAGCCTTTTGCCACAAGTCACGCTTTATATTTCTCTATATTCCCTTGAGAGCCAAGTTTTTTTTTCCTATAGACCCATTTACAGTCTATTGTTTTGGCTCCTTTAGAAATTATTTCCAAGTCCCAAACTTTATTGGCACTTATTGATTTCATTTCATCTTCCATGGCCTCAAGTCACTTTGATGAATGATCACTTCTCATGGCTTCTTCAAATGAGGTGAGATCATCCTCCATTTGAAATTTCTCAGTGTTGTACACTTCATAATCAGCAGGAATAGCTGATTTTCTAACTCTTTGAGATCTTCTAGAGGCCTCCACTTTTGGCACATCTTCAGTTTGAGGCTGTTGTTGCTCTCCCTCATGTGTGGCAATAGGTTCTATAGAATCCTGAAGAACAGGTTCGTCATCGTCATTCATTGTTGCCATAGGTGGGATAACAACAGGTGCTGACACCATAGTCTCTTGCACTATCGGTGCAGCGACAACAGGTAGTGAGAAAATTGGCTCATGAATCATTGGAGTGGGCGCATACACCCGCTTTACTTCAAGGTCAATTTCTCGAGCTAGCATGCTCCCCCTCATCAATTCATCCTCTAGGAAGACAACGTGTCTCGTTTCTATAAACTTTGTCAGTCCCTCTGGACAGTAGAAACGAAAACCTTTTGACTTTTCTGGGTAACCAAGGAAATGGCACCTTATTGTTTTGGGATCTAACTTCCCAATATTTGGGTTAAATACTTTAGCCTCAGCAGGGCTCCCCCACACACACGCAAGTGGTTTAGTGAGGGTACTCTTTCTGTCCACAACTCATACGGTGTTTTGGGCACCGACTTTCTTGATACTCTATTGAGAATATGAATGGTGGTTTTTAACGTCTCCATCCACAGGCTCAACTGTAAGGTGGAGTAACTTATCATACTGCCCACCATATCCATCAGGGTGCGATTGATTCATTTAGCTACTCTATTCTGGTGAGGTTCGTCCGGTGTAGAATACTGGGCTACTATGACATTCTTTTAGGTATGTCGACCGTAGTACTCCCCCACGGTCAGACCTGACTATCTTAATCTTTAATATCTTAAATGTATTCAATACATCTTTTCTTTCTTTGATTGGATAGATATAGCTATAATGGGAGTAATCATCTGTGAATGTTATGAACGGATCATAACCATCCACACTCTTTACAGGAAAGTTGACCACAGATGTCTGTGTGAATAATCTGTAAAATTCATGCGCTTCGTTTGTCATCTTTCTTAATCTTCTTTACATACTTTCCTTTTATGCATTCCCTGCATTGTTCTTAATCTGAGAGCTCTAATGGAGGAAGAATATCATTCTTAACTTGTCTTTCTATTCTCTCCCTCGAAATATGGCCTAAACGATAGTGCCATAATTTCTAGAGTAACACTCTGTCACCAGCTGCTTTATCAGCTAGGTAGCATATGTCTTTGAAGAGTCAGTGAACTGACTCTTTATTCTATCGAGGTACTCGGTGACTGTGTCACACTCTGGGATTGAGCCCACAATTGCAGGTTCAATATGTTCTTTATCACAGCCAAAACATTTTCTTGTTGGCAGTGACCCACTTTCTATGCATAAAAGTCATAGGACTATCTTTTGGGATTCAAAATCCCTCTCTTTAGTTGATCAAGTGACATCATTCTCTTTTGTCTCCCTTACTGGTGCCACAAACTCAGTGGAACACGGTGAGGTGACTATCCAGTCCATCTTAGACAAGATGAAAACTAGGTCAAAACTTTTCTTATCATAAGAATAACACCATTTGCATGCCTTGATTCCAACATTGGTCAAAATCAAAACATACAACTATTCTTATACACTAATTCTATATCACTGTTGGGCAGAAATAGAATTAATACATAAATCTTTAACTTTCATAACTGTTCTTACACACTAATTCTACATCACCGTTGGGCAAAAGTAGAATTAATGCATAAATCATTAAAATTTACAACTCTTCTTATACACTAATTCTACATCACCGTTGGGCAGAAGTAGAATTAATGCATAAATCATTAAAATTACGATATTGTTATTAACAACGTTGGTTAGAAAATAACAACATCATAATCATGTCAAATCTCTTTTTCTCCAATTAAATACCACATTGGTTCAAAAGTAACTGGAGAATCAACATTTTCTTTAGCAGCGGAAAAAATCTCTTTTTCTCTAATTAAATACCACATTGGTTCAAAATAACTAGAGAATCAACAATTTCTTTAGCAGCGGAAAAAATCTCTTTTTCTCCAATTAAATACCACATTGGTTCAAAATAACTGGAGAATCAACAACTTTTCTTTGGCTGTGGAAAAACTCTCTTTTTCTTGAATTTTACCCACAGGGAAAATTGCTTTTTCTATTTTCTTTAATCCATTAATCAATTTTCAGGAAATAAACATTTACTGGAAAACAAAAAACGAAAATTGACTCAAACGATCACTGTTCTTTTGGCCCGGCCAGCAAAACAGTCCGGCCTAGCTACTCTCCGCGCGCGCTGCCGCACCCAGGCCGCAACCTGGGCCTGGGCCGGCAAAGCCGCGCCGGTGCGCTCGCCCGCCTGGGCCACTCGCTGGCCCGTGCATCCGGCGTCATTGGATCTCATCGGATGGCCGTCCGCGTGTTTCGCTTGGTATATAAACCATCGCCGTGGCCGGTGCCCCTAACCCTAGCTCATTCTCTTCGCCGCTCTCTCTCTCTTCATCGCTCTCTCAGCCGCAGCGACTCGGCTCCCGAGCGAAGCAGCGAGCGAGCGTCGGCGACCGAGCGAGCGGGCGGTGGAGCGAGGCTGCCATGGCGCCGTCGCCGGCCCCCTCGCCGGCGCGCGTGCTCCCCAATGGGTGAGCACACCGTCGTCGAGCGGCCTGGCCACAGCGCCCTTCTTCTCCCGCGCCGGCGAAGGGTTTTGCCGACGCCCGGCGAGGTTTTTTCCGTTCCCCTTTCCCTTTCTCCTTCTTCTTTTCGATTTGGATTGTTCTTCTCTTTTTCGAACCAGTGGATGGGAGTAGGGTTTAGATCTAGGGTTCCTTTTCTTCTTCCCCTTCGGATTTGAGCGGGTCTAGGCCGAATCCCACTTCTTTCTTTTCTTTTCGCTTGTTCACCCGAAAAGGGGATCTAGGGTAAGGGTTCGGTTTTCTTTTGATTTCTTTTCTTTTGTTATTTGTACCGAATCCCTCTTTTCTCCTTCCTCGTCGCGAGTTAGGGTTAGGGTACTTTGGAACCTTTCCCCTTTCTGTTCACTGTTGTTTCACCCGATTAGAGTTAGGGTTGGGATTCTTAAGATCCTTTTCCCCTTTCTGTTCTCTGATCCGAACAAGGATCTGTTCTTTTCTTGTTTTCTTGTCGCGCGCCGGTGAGGACGGCAGTGCTCTTCTTCCCAGCGGCGGTGTGGGTGGTGACCGATAGATGACAACGCCCCGCCACCCCGGTCTCTTTTCAGTTATGCTTTTACCCGGTTAGGGTTAGGGTTACACAGAGGCAACATGTCTCCGGTACCATTGTTAGGATCGATGAATGTGTGTACCTATCTGTGTGTAACCCGTAGATCCGGGGAAGACCTCATCCTTGTCTTCTCCGTAGATGTACCACAGCGGGTAGACGCCGGTGCCGCGGTAGCTCCGGCTCGGTGGAGTCCGTAGTGGTACCGCAGTGGTCCGGTGGTGACCTGCAGGGGGCGACGATGTCGTCGGTGGGCACATCCCGTCGCTGGCAGCACCTCTTTAGGATCGGATTAGGGTTTTCTATGGGTGGGATGGCGGCTCCAGTGAACCTTGTTTCCCGAGCCTAGATCCTCACCTTACCTTTTATATGTGCTGTGCGACAGGGGTCCACCAACCATATTAGGGTTGGGTGCCCCCGATCTGGGCGCAGAGGCAAGGGCCTAATAGGCCGTTGGGCTATTGATGGAGATCAACAAACAACAACTTGTCCTGTGACGTTAAGAGATTCTTCTTGACAGTTTGTTTTGTTCATGAAAGAAAGAACTAAGAAAGTTACATTTTTTATGGTAAACTAAGAAAGCTGGATTGTCAAATCCGGCAACTCGCATGTACAGCTCACTGTAGATTTGGAATTTGAGTGCTGCGGCACATTTTTTACGCAAAAACCTTAAAATGCTGTCTTGCCCAGCGATTTTCCAAGTCAATTTTACAGCGGAATGAACGGAGACTGTAAGTCTGTAACAGAGTCGGAGTGTAACCTCGGAACTGGGAAATGCACAAACCCAAAGAAATTTGATAGACAGGCCAAATTCATTTTTTTTTGAGGTCAACGACCGGGAGGATCACAGATCCTCACATGATATATTGCCATCCACTGATGCCGGCGAATTCAACAGGCCAAATTCACAAATAGGAAACCTGTGATAGTGCAAAGTACAGGCCCAAGCGCCCAAACCACAAGGTGCGCGTGCCCATGGAAGCAGAGGGAAACAGAGCAACACAGCCCAAACCATACATACTAACGGCTCTTAATAATTGAGTAATTTTATTGCTACAACGGCGCACCACAAGGTGCGCAGCGCGCATCAGCCCATGGAGCTAGCTAGTTCGGCGGCGCGAAGAAGTAGAAGACGACGGCGTCGGCCACGGCGGCGCCGGCCCCTGATGCACCTGGGAACTGGTTGGTCACCGGCGAAATTGTGATGAGGAACACGCCGAGTAGGAGAAGCGCGAGCCCGACGAGCGCGTGCTCGGCGTTCGCGGAGCGGTTGCTGATGGTGTAGGTGAGGACGAGCCAGCCGCCGGTCACAAGGATGCGGCCGGCGTAGAGGAGGCGGCGCTGAACGTGATCGACGGGCACGGCGTGGCGCGCGATCAGCTCGGGCTCGTCGGCCTGAGGCGCGTAGGCGGCCATTGTGTGCGTACGTAGGAGTAGGGCACTTCACGTAGTTTTGTTGAGTGTGTATGACTGGATGCTTGTGCTGTGTTCCTGTACTGTTTTGGAGCAGACGAGTAAAGAGGATCATCATCATCAGCGTTTTAAAAAGGCAGGAAAACGGCAGAAAAGCCTACACGAGCTAGGAGAAACAGGCCGAAACGCGAACGAGGGGAATTCGGGGTAAAAAAACTACTGAAAAATACGGAATGATCAATGCTGAGGCATCCTGCGCCGTTGACTACTGAAATACAGTATCTTGGTGGAAAATGGAACAAGGGGAAAACATTAGGTGGCGGGGTTGTACGTGTAAAGGATTCTAGAGGAAGAAGAGGGTGGGAGAGGAGAACAGACCAGCGCTGCGCCTGATTTTGCTGGCGGCGGTTGCTCTTGTTTGGATGGATGGATCGCCGGCTGCGGACTGCGGTGGTGTGGCGGGTGGGGGCGTTAGCCCGGCGCTATATATATATATAGCCGTTTCCTAGAGGAAGGATGGATCTCGTGGGGGGGCCACGGATCAGTGGATCGGAGATTAATTAGATAGAGAAAAGATATATGCAGGCTCCTTCGCTGGGTTGTAAACGATCGTAAATATTTAGTCAGAATAATATTTTTCTCTCACATCAAATCAACCAACAGTAATAATCTACTCTCATATCCGATCGTATCAGTACCCGCCGAAGCTGAATGACAAGACCTCGGAGATGGTCGTCGGTGCGGGCGCAGCGTGACTCCCTGAAGACGTGTGAATTTGGACGGCTCACGACTTTGGCTTTCTCTGAAGGTAGAAGTATGTGTCCCTGGCCCACAGAGGATCGGAGGGCCTCGTCTCTCTCTTACGTAGTATGATATTGCTATGACAGCGCATCAGCATCAGCAGTAGTCGAGTACTGATCTGAGTTGACGAAGTGGGGGAGGTGTCCTTTTCATCTAGGTGTAAAGTTCGACTTGGACCATAATGAAAAAATGACGTCACCTCTGTCGCAGGAAAAGAAGAAAGAAAGCACCCTGGTGCATGCACACAAGCCCAGCCGTCGTGGCATCAGTTTCTAACTTTCTATGCGACATGTGATCACATTTAATGAAATAGTATATACAAAGTTGCCGGGCTTGTATAGAAGATAACTACCGGAACCTACTAACATCAAACAAACGGAAGTCACTATTTTAGTTTTTTTTTAGGGAAAGTCACTATTTTAGTTCATCATAAAGAAAGAAGGACAAGAGGGACCCAGGACATAAACAGGCCCAACATGTCCAGGCAACCAAACATGTCCAACTTAGCCTTGTGGAGCCTGGCGGAAGTGAAGGCAGGAAACCAAACAGACCCCACATGCCCACGCAACGGTAGTCACTTCTGTTGGGCATGTCAGAGTTTGGATCCACCTCGAAAATGCCCTCCTGGTTACCCACCGCATCGATTTCCGTCAACACGGTGGCGGAGTTGGCTCCAAAAGCACTGTAGACTACCCTTCGACACTAGAGATTAATGTGGCACAAGGAAAAACGGCTCTGGTATTTTTAAATAATAAAATATGAAACGGTGGAGCCAAAGGAGCTGGAGTTTTAGGGTTCCAATCGGCTCCGGCAAGATTTCAATTTGGTATAGAATCTCTTACTGAGGTGCTAGCTTTTTGGCACGGCTTGGGCTTCTCCAAAATTAGAGAAGCCAGGAAACCACGTTTTGATAGTTTGTAGCCGAAAAAGGCTTGGGCTTTATTACCACTTTTTAGTTACGGTAGCCATTCTCGTGTGTGTGTTTTTGATATAGGTTTTTGATTAGACTAGTTTAGAAGCCACAACAAAAACCCTATCAACAAAGAGGACATAAATGACTAGGCCATAGGCGTGCAGGATTTTCCTCAAAAAATAAACTGCATTGAGTATATAAGAAATCACCGAATAGCATCAGATTACAAACTACTGGTGTATTTTCCAAGCAGTGGCAAAAGCACAAAAAAGAAAACCTCATCTGTCCAGTTGTGCATTGGTCCCATCGATTCCATTTGTAGCAAGCCTGCCTCCGATGGGCCAGCAGATGAACAGGGTAGGCACCGTAGCTTCTTGTGATCACTGAAAGATATGCTAGCGCCAAAAGCTTATAAAATATTTAGTGGACGTAGGTTGCAGGCTCGCAGTGCATCAGGGCGTCCTCAACAATCTAGCTAGCTTGCTAGCGATTTGATCAGGGAGTTCTTACACGCGAGGTCTTACACACAAATTCATCTACCCAACAGTTATTTTCAAAGCGCACCATCCAATGCAACATCGGTGCTATTTTTAGATCTTTTTTATGGCGTCCCGAGAAGAGGAGTGGAGGGAGAGACACGGACACAGAGTAAGACCTCGCGTGGCGTGCCAGATGCCTCGGGGCAAACAAAACCCCTGGTGAGGAACCCGTCGCTAGGGTCAAGGCATTTTAGCCGTCTCTCTCTCTCCCAAGGCGGCGAAAATCCAACGTCAGCTAGCTCGGAGCTAGATTGTTGGGGACGCCCTACTATTCTACTCCTACTGCAACAACGTCCTACAAAGCAAAACAAAACCTCAAAACAATTACGGGTGTGTTTGCAGCGGCAGCGGCACAACAGCCTACTGCGATCCATTCATCTTTAGGCCTTGTTTAGATGCGCACATATTTATCCGAATCCACATGAGTTGAGGTGGATTAGAATATAATTAAAATAAATTATATTCCATTCCACTTCAACATATATAGATTGAGATAGATACACATGCATCCAAACGAGACCTTAACGAAGCATTAGGGCATCCTCAACGGTGGAGAAATCGCCGGCTCTCCTCAATTTCTATTGGCTGCAGAGGACTGACAGGAACTAGCTAGCGCTTTCCTCCTCGCTGGTGTCGTACTTTCTCCCAGAAAACTCTCCCTCTCAGCAATGGCCCTCCATTCTTCTTCTTTTTTTATTGTTTCGGATGTTCAATGGACTGGCGATTTAAAAAACCCGTTGGGGACGCCCTTAGCAGCAGCACATGTCTCAAGATCACTAGGCGGTATCTTAAGCCCCCTCCAAGGACCCACCATACTATATGAGACACACAAACACCTTTTTTTTTTTAGCAAAACACACAAACACCTGCTGTGCTGGGCTAAGAAGGGGGGCCGGGTCATTTGGGGAGGACCCAGCTAACACACGCACACGGCACACCCAACCCAAAACAAACGCAGTCAACGTAAGGGGAGAGGAAGACACGCACCAACCATGCCCGGCAGCCAGCGGCGGACTCCCAGGCTCCCAGCAACGTGCCTCGTCAGCACTTACAATAAGGGCGGTCCAGTTCAATATAAATTTTTGTTAACAATTTAGTTTCGATTGACATGCCAACAAACATCTTCGGTTTCATGCTACAATACACGGAGGAGCTAGAACCGATGAAATAAAAAATAGTGATTTTAATAAATCCTGTTTCATTTTAACTGAAATAAAAACGGCTCCATGCTCTAGTGCATGAAGGAGCTGACACTAAAGCCGAATGGAGCTCTTCCAAATAGGTCTAAATGTAGCATGTCATTGTCCAAAATATAAATTACTGAAACATAAGAAAAATACATAAAAAGTTTTTACAAGTATTTTCAAAATAAGTAATAAACTAAAAAAATACTTAAAATAACTTACTATCTAAATACTTAATAATACTTTGCTCAAAATTCTATGGTGGTCCCGTGGCCCACAAGGACCACCCCCTAGCTACGCCACTGGCGCCTAGCATTTTCTTGAACCTTGATTTCATATGTCTGAATTTTAAGATGATTTTAAACAACACTCTTGTACCATTAACTAGTACAAGTACAAGTGAATTGTTACTTTTGTGATTTGTTATTTGTCTTTTGTGTTATAACATATCAATTTTTTTTTGTCTTTGTCTGTAGAAACAATTGTTAATTGTCTTTGTGCCAACACAAATCAGATTTTGTTGGGTTTGTAGTTTTGTCTAACGTGTTTTTTATTCTCGGAACCGAAAATAGCTGATTGTGCCTACAGAAATTGTATCGAACTAAAGTTTCAATTTTAATATAAAATATATGTAATAATTGTTGTCTAAAATGAAACTAAAATTTTGGCACCTGAATCTTAACAAGTCCCATAAAAAATATAGATAAAATCAACATTGCAATTTACAAATCATCTTAGGCATAAAAGAAGAAAGAAGTATCTGCATCACGACGATACAGATTGAGATGTATTCAGTAAGCGCTAGATATTCGGCACTGCTACAAGTCTACAACACTTGATGCCTTGCTGGCACCACCGAGTTTGCCCTCTACATACTACAGCGTGCGTTCTGCCTGCCATTGAAGAGGCGGAGCCACCTACAGCCCCCCACGCCCCCACCAAACAAGCCAAAAGTACGTCGACTCTAATCATACATGTTCTTGTAATCCTGGTCCCCAGGACTCCACGTTGAGGTTTAGGCGTGTATGATTAAACCAGGATTACAAGAAGAGCAACTAGATAAGGAGCCGGAGGAGATTTACCATCTCATGATGCGCTGTGTTTTCAGCACATCGGTTTGGGCGTTGGTTCTTCAGGCGCTGGGGATGCTGCACCTCGCCCCGCAGAATCAGGTCTGTTTTTTTTGGGCATGGTGGCTGCAGGCTAGAAAGCAGGTTGCCAGCCCTGCACGGAAATGATTTGACTCTCTCGTTGCGTTAGTCGCATGGTTGCTTAGGAAGCAAAGGAATGACAGGGCCTTCAACAGCCGGAGCAGCTAGGTTGACACTTGACGCCGTCTTTCAAGCAGTCGTCGAAGAGTGCAGGATTTGGGACTTAGCTGGGTTCAGCCAGCTGCGTTCTTTGCTGCCATCGTCATCAATCCGTGTATTTTCATAGTCAGCTAAAGTTCTTTTGTGCGTCTCTGGGGTTGCGGTAATCGCTGGTTTAACGCTATGAGTTTTTAAAAAACATTCTACTTCCTTTTAATGAAATATGTACCTCGTGGTATGGTCGGGAGAAAAAAAG